GGGCAGAGCTCGTCGGGCAGTCGGACTAAAAAATGTATAAAAATAGGCCCACGCCTAGCCAACACATGTCTGTCACAATTCGAGAGTGTCATTTCTGGCCATCCCCTTCTTGGGAGGGAGAACACCCTCTCAAAACTTCCCCCAGTTCGGGCCTACAAACCCAAGTCCCCCTGTCGGAGAGCTCAGGCCCCCTTCCCCCCACCCCAGAAAGTATATCCTAGAGCCGCCACTGGTAGCACGATATAGGCCTACTGAACTAGGGGAATAGGCCTACGTGAGAAGCTAACAATAATCCCAATGGAACGGGCATGGTATAAGCACCATGCCAATATTTTTTAATAAAGCGCTGCTCTAGAATAAGCGCCGCACTGAAGCCTCCAAAAATTTTATAAGCGACGTCACGCTTATTCGAGCACACAGTAATAATAATTTATTCGGATATACGTTTTTATATCAGTGGCACTCAACAAAAAGAAAAAGGCCATGTCAAAAAGTTAACTCAACCACAGGAATATACAAATTAAAAATACAGTAACAGAACTAACGAAAAATCAAACAAGCATTTAAAAATCATTCCTAATTATCATGCAATGTTATAGCATGCATTGCATTATATATTTGCCGGCTCAGGCTTCTAACCGTTGATTCTTAATATATGAAATTTGTTAGAAATTGATCGGCTCCGGTGATTGCAGATTCTCGGATCCATAATGTTATCTGTAGGCCTACATAACAGATGTACAGGACATATAACGTTACTTCTTCAAGTCCCCAAAACACCCAAATTAATCAAAATTGAAATATTCACGAATTTTGTGTTTGAGAAATCCATTATTCGGAACATCAAAATGCTACTTTGTCGGAGCTTCCCTAGCTTTTCCCACAAACCCACTCCATGCCTCTGCCACTGGACCCCCACATTCCAAATAGTCCACTTTTTTTAAAACCTTTTTTAATAAAATCTTTTATAATTATAGCGAAATGATATAGTATGAATTGCATTATATTTTTTTGCTCTTCTAACTGTTGATTTTTAATAATGTGCTACGAGATCTGTTGGAAATTATCAGCTCCAGTGATTGCAGATTTGATCAATGTTTTATGTAGGACTTCAAGAAAAGAAGGGAGAAAAAAGAAAATTATAATTAAATGTAGGTCTGAGAGTACCATTTCCGGCCACTGGTACAGACTATCCGTCTGTGAAATTGTTTTGCTAAAGTCAGATTTATCAATATTGCTTTAATAGCTTAAAAATTGCTTAATATTAACAAGTCGATTGTATGCATGCGCCAATTAAGACGATTTTTAATTAAAGTCAGGCTCCGGAGGAAAAAAAAATTATCTTTTTTATCTCGTTCACCGTTCCCAAGTTTTTCGTCAAACAACTTTTTTCTGTCTTAGAAAAATCAGTTCTACAACATATCAAACAATTTTTTTCCTCCGGAGCCTGACTAGCTAAGATTTTGCTAAAATGGTTTAATAAATCAGCTTAGGATATTTGCTTAGGGATATGTTAATTTTTTTGACCTTAGACATTAATTGCTAAGTTGAGATCCTTGGCCAGAGTTTTCTAGATTTAGAAAACTCAGGTATCTGCATACAAGTAGACCTCCTTTTATATAAAACTATATATTTTAGTTTAAAATCCCCTCTAAGTGTAATGGTATGGTCAATTTATTTTAAGGTTTGAGTATTCTAGATAGAAAACTCAGATATCTGAGTTTTCTAGGAGTAGAAAATTCAGACCAGAGATCTGAGATTTGAGGTCTGACTTTTCTATATCTGAGTTTTCTAGACATATTTTATGGCCTTGAAAATAAGAAAATTGCAAAAAAGTAGGTGTTTTGCCCTAAAAACAATAATAAATTGTTGTCTTGGTAATTTTTGGAGAAAATGTTTTATTACAGCTAATATAAATATATGTTTTCTGAGTAATATGTGACGAAATGCAACTCTCCTGCACAAGTATTAACAGAGTTATGGAGTTTTTCCAGATTTTTTTTTTTTTTTTTTTAAATTTTACCAAAACCGGCTATTTTAAAGTTATTTATATATAACTTATTGGAATTTTTTAAAACAAATATTTGTTATTTGTCATTATTGTCACTTCAGCTATCATTTGTCACCATTGAATAAGTAGAAACATTCGATGGCTCTGAAAACAAGAAAATTATTTTTAAAAAAACAGGATTTTTGGCCAAAAATGGCGGTTTTTGGTTATAGCATTTTCCTGGTATTTTGTGGGGAAAATGTTCTATTATAGCGAGTAGAAAGATGAGTCTTCCAAACAGTTTGGTAAAAAAATGAACTCTGTATAACTATAATAGTAACTGCAGGAAATACAGATTTTTTCCCCCAAAAAAAGGATATTTTGCATAAAAGCGGCCATTTCGGCAATTAGATGAAAGAATTTAGCTTGGGATCTACCAGATTCGTAATCAGCAAGGTCAAAAATACCCTACATCAACTGGACACCAGCTTCTCTAAAAATACCTATTGCATCATCATTTTTAAAACCTGTCAATACTGTAATCGAATTGCAGGGTTCTTGTGCCATTCTCCACAACTGAATGTTCTTACGAGACACTACAGTGTTTCAATATGGGGAGCTCCCCCGCCCCCCACCTCTGGTGCTGCAGAGAACAGGTGAGGTCACCTGCCTTTTTCACAGTGGCGGCACCAGCGGGGGACAGGGGAGCTTAAGTCCCCCACCGGAAAGGTCAAGCCCCCACACCCCCGTTGGACATGAGACCATAAAAAATATATAAATAGGCCCACACCAAGTCAACACATGTCTGTCACGTAGTCTGAAAAAATCCTTTCCAGCCCACCAAAGGTTGCCATTCTTAAAGAAAAACTCATTTTGGGATGGGGTACCCTCTTTCAACTCCTTTCCCCAGCTTGGCCATACGTTCTCAAGACCCCCTGTCGGACAGCTTAGCCCCACCTCTCCCACCCAGAAAATATATCCTAGAGCCGCCACTGCTTTTTCACCATTCTTGGATTTGTCACTGAAATGGCCTGAAAAAAATTACAATATAAAATCAAAAGTTCTGATATTAAATTTAATATGTACTGTAAACTAAAGCTGTTATTTCTTAGTCCTCCAACTGTGGTTTTTACTTGACAGAGCACAGGTACTTAGCCATTAACCACTGCATATCTGAAGTGATGTTTAAAATATTTTAGCTTATTAGGAATGTTTTTAACTTTAAAATATTGTTTTATAGTATTGAACCAGCAGACGCAGGGGGTGTGGAAGAGGGCTCCATTCGAAAGAGCTGACCACTCTCAATTGTGGAGAAAAAACAATGCATTGGAGAGAAATTATATGATTAATACCAATTAAATAAGCCATTCAATTCCTGAAATTTTCACAGCTTGCATCGACCCCTTCTGAGATTCTGAGCGAAGCCTGGCTACGCCCACTAACACACCCCGTAAAAGGCATCAGATACCACACAAATCTTGGCGCTACCACTGAGCAGGTAGTTAATTACCAATATCACAGGCCAACCCCTGTCACCCACAACTTGTTGGTCTAAAAAGGGAAAAGTGTTTGTGTTTAATTTTCTTTAAAAAAAAAATGGGCATAATACATTCTAAAATCTAAACATCCTAAATTGTCCTAAATAATACTGCCAGATCTTCCCAGCTGGACTTAACTCATGGCCTCCTTCAAAATTGTTAAACAGCTTTGCTTTCACTTGAGTGAGTGTACTGTGAGTGAAAATGTTAATGAAGGATGACTAACTAAATAAATCACATAAAATTCCCTTCCAATATTTATTGTAAAATTTGAGATCAACAAATACCCACTTAACTACAGCAGCAAAATATACAGTACATAGGAAAGATCTGATCTACAAGTTAATATTATCTCTATGAAATTAGGTACTATAAAATACCTCCTGTAAATAAGCTCAAAATGTTATATATTATATATATATATATATATATAATGAATTAACAATAGTAACATACATCAATTGTTAAAAAATGCTGACATTTTTTGTGAAAATGTATAAAAATATTTTTCAATCATTATGCATGATGCATAAAACTGATTTAGGAATAAAAATACGATGGGTATGTTATTATATACAATTTTAAAATAAGTAAATAAAATGATAGGTTTGTACAATAAGACCCTTGTTTTGTTGCCAATGACACCTTAGTCCTTAAAACTACTAAGTGTTAATAAAATACCAGATCAAAAGAGTGTACAAGTTGGTAAAGAATACAAATGGAATAAGTAGTATACAATAAGCTACACAAGTGCCTTTGCTATATAACACTTTCTAATCTACAACATGTCTATGATTATAGTATTGTCTTAAGGATTGTTTTTGAAAATATGGAAAAATACAATTTAATCATATACTGTACCTTAGTAATGCTTAAATAGTTAATTAATTAAAATATCATAATTATAATTACAGTACAGACATTTAATTGTACTACACTATTAACAAATTTTCAGTAAAATTACTTCCATAAAAATTAACTGTATAATGTATTTCCAACACAATAATGATTAAATAGGAACAAGTTGTTTCATTCAGATGATGCAAATCTCATTGATCTAGCATAGAAATGTATTTAGGCCTAACACTATTTCTTTTACTCCTCACTTTCTGAGCATGATAATAGTCTAGATTGTTTAATGTATCAGTTGATGTAAATTTATGGGTTTTCTCCACTTGCATAGTGTAAACACATCTAACATCATATTGTGAAATAATACTATACAAATGAACATCCAAAAAATATTATTTAGATGAACACTGAACACTTTTGTTAAATATTTTACAAATCAGCATATCTGAAATTATGAATTATGTAAATGTATACTTGTGAAATAATACATTAATTCTTGGGAAGTAATATAATAAAAATAAAGAAAATGTGAATTAATGTTATGCAAATTAACATATACAAAATAAATTATACACATTAAATAACATTACACATGTGAAATGACATTATAATAAATAAACATATTAGAAAAAACATGCAATAATATTATGCAAATTTACAAAAGTGAAATATTATGCCAATTAATACAGGATATAAAATACATATGAAATAACGTTATTCAAACTGACAAATACAAAGTAATTTTTATGCAGATTAACACAAATGAAATAACAGATCCAAACCCGGGTGGTCTGGTATAATTAGGGTTTGATTAATATTTTGATATAAAAACTCAAAACAATGTAATATATAAAGGCCTCATTGATCAGCAAAAATTTCATGACATTATTACGTTACTACTGAATTCAATTATTGATACAGATATCGATTATTTGACACTGAAATCATGTATTTCATATTGATTAGATATGAAAAATATTGAATGTTGATTAATTTGATATTAATAACTGATATAAAAATCCAGCTATTTTAACTATTATACAATTCTGTGCTAACAGCCAATGAGTTAATATTATTTTCATTCATTTAATTATAAATTAAATTTTATAATCATAGGTTACAAAGAATCCTGTTCCCTGAACTGCAGAATTACTTCTGAAGGTGAACTGTGAAAAATCTGAACCATCTGCAGCACTGGTGAATGTAGCAGGGAAGGCTGGAATTATACATAAACGAAGAGGAGAAGCATCAGACCCTGAGTCGGTAATCTGTCAAAATAAGATAAACACACATTAAAGAAAATAATAAATCAGCCAATTTCATTTACTTTAATATTAAATAAGACAAACAAGATTCTGATGTCATATGATTCTCATGTTTCTTTGTATTTAATGGTCGTGGTCATTTCACTTGTAATAATGTAGTTTTATATAGCGCTGTATCCATCTAATATAAGTGTAGGAACTCGATCAATGACTTTCTTCGCCCCTAAGGATCCCTTCGTGTCTGTGCTACCCGGTAAACCGGTACCAGCAATTATCATCGGCCACCACAGGGGCTGTCTGTTCCAGTACACCGGAGTATCCTCCTACTCATCTTGAATGATGTACTGTTTTTTTTTTAATAGTGCACACGATCCATCGTATACACTGGGCCTACGGTTTATAGTCCTTATCCGAGAAGACTTCTCCCATCAGAACCATAGGCGAGCGTGTCATTTTGAACCAGCGCCGATATATTGGCAATAGTAACAACAGCGCCGATATTTTGGCAATAGTAACAACAACTTCAAAGATAACCCTTTGCTTAAATGGCAATCAGTGGAGTTCCTGTAGAAGAATAGAAGTATGGGTCTGGGGAGACCTGATGTTATAAATCAGACAAACAGCTGAATTCTGCAGTCTCTGTAATTTTTTAGCATCAGTTGTTGTAAGCTCAGTATACAATGAGTTGCAGTAGTCAATTCTTGACAGCACAAGTGCACGAATGGCTGCAAGGCAAGTCTCCTGATTAATAAATTTATGGATCCTACACAAGTTACGAATGTGGAACTTTACAGATCAACAAACAGACTGGACTTGATCAGAAAGTGACATCAAAGAATCAAAGGTGACTCCAAGGTTACGGACAGAGGTAGAAGGAGAAACATCAAAATCTCCTATGGACAATGAAGCAAATTTGACATAATCCGGTTTTATTTTATTTTATTTTATTTCAACAATATTTTGTGAGGGTGGTCCATCCAGCCTGAGCTGATCAATTGGGACCCTCAAGGTGCCTCTTAGAAGCAAATATAAGGAACTCAGTTTTACTGTTGTTAAACCTTAGCTTATTCTGAGCCATCAATTGCATTATGTCAACAATACAGAACTTAAATTTATCAAGAGCAAGATGAAAAAATAAGGGGTCAGACGGGTCGAAATCTAAGTAGAGCTGGAGATCATCAGCATAGAAGTGATAATTAATGTTGTGACGTTTGGTGATTCCACCAAGTGGGGAAATATAAAGGCTGAACAGTAAAGGTCCAACAACAGAACCCTGTGGTATACCATACCTTAATGTATGTAGTGAATAAGTCATCGACAGGGACATAACAACTGCGGTTGGTAAGCAATGCTATAGCCAGGATTTTCAAACAGTGCAGGACAATATCAGGGTGGTCCCACTTTATGCATAAATTCAAATAATGTGGACCCATTTTCTTAACATTTTACCCATTTTAGGCTAAATATGAAAAATATGGACCCATTTTTCACCCCAGTGTACTGGTTCATGCAGCCGCTGTTGTGGGCAGACTAGAGATAGCTGTTACCGGTTTACAGGGTACCTCGGAAAAAGAGACCCTTAGGGGAGAAGAAAGTCCACACCTCAAGAGCTTAGGGACTCCGGTATAAAGCGCTGTATACATCAAACTACACTAATTTACATTACATATATAATAGTCAATTATACTCATGTATGTATTAGACAGTTTCATTTTATATAACTATTTAAGTCAATTTCATTTGACCGTATTAAGTTATTTTTTTGTAATTCACAAACCATTACTGGTATTAGGACAGCAAAGATCACAAAATATACATATCAAACATTAAAAACTGATCTATAATAACAAGCAATATACATTACCTCAATATAGTCGGAATTTTGATCAGTACAAGAATTGCCACTGGTAGGAGCCTCCACGTCGAAAGTTTGAATATTGAAAACAACCCTCATTCCCGCAGGAACAGTAAAATTCCATACACAGGTTATGTCTGGTGGGTAATCACTATCATAGTTTGGTGACGAAAACGAGCCCTCCGTTGGAGTCTCTCCAAAGGCTCCTCCACATCCTAAAATCCAAATATAGTAACAGAAATAAAGGTGAATAACCTATAGTATAGAGTTTAGATTTGATGACATAGTGACTGATTAATTTTTTGTTAGATCTGCTTGGCGGACCGTAGGGTGAACTGCAGGGTATGCTAGTGGAAAATGTTTGTTAGCCTACAAAGACTGCGTTTTACAAATGTATATTCTTTCTTATACCTGTATGGTTGTCTTATCATATCATATAATTTATTTTACCATTCAAATTTACTAAAATGAACATAAAAATACAAAAATACAAAACAACTCAGCAGTACCTGGTAGAATTTCTTAATGAGGGCAAAGCCCATCTGTCTGGGAACCGATGAAACAGATGTAACAAAAACATCAAAATAATTATTTGTAAAGCGCCTAAATAAAATATTATTATTACAATTAAAATCATTATCATTAAAATTATCATTATATTGGTTAAAACTGGAATATAATTTGATGGAAGCATGGTTTCTTTAAAAGAATTCCTATTCCTGTACATTTAACAAATAAATAATACAATTTCCTTCTACGCTGGTCGTATGTGTGCAAATTTATGTTAACTTTAATCATTGAGATCACAGAATGTCTAGTAATACAAATAACATGATTGACAGCGGAGGTCCTTATGGTTACAGAGGAAAGTGAGCAATGAGAAGAGGACCATGCACATACTCTTGGAAGCAGTGCTTCCACTCCAGTGTTAAATTTGCAATTCTAACGCCACCATGCGTTTTGCCGAATAGGAAGTTTTACCATTGTAGGGTATGCTCTCACTTCCACTGCCTCACTGAAACAAGAGATAGGCTGATATTGAAAACCAGCCATGCGGAAATTCATAGCAGGCGAGAGGACGATGCGAAAGGCTGAAGTAATTTAGATTATTCTAGAAATCAAGGCAAAGTAGGCCAAAAAAAAACCAAAAAAAAATTAACAATATTCACTTAGCTATTCTAATGAACTGTAGCCATCTACTCAAAAATTAAGGCTGCCATAGAAGATTGTAGCTAAGGAATGTTAAATAAAAATGGAGAAAAGGCACAATAATTTTGTATTTTTTTTTGTTTTAGCATGGTATGTACTGCATACCTTGCTTGGCTTGATGGTCCGACACTAGATAAAAGTATAAAGCATCACTGCAAGATGACTTTAGTTTATCAAAAAAAAAGACAGTATCTCTTCAGAGATCTGTTGTGTATCTATATTTAAGGTGTGTGCATCAAATACTAGAGTTATATTCCCTTCCAATTGGATTTGAATGTCCAACAAAAGTCTCAATGGCTTATTTGGTTAAGCCATCTGCATAGACAGCAGAAGGTCCTGCGTTTGAATCCCAGTTGGAGCAATTTTTTCACACCTGCAGACTTTTTACTGTTTATAATTTATACAATTATATATACATATGAAAAGATAAACTCCTTTTTCAGTTGTATATACTCAAAATGCAGCAACTCAAAATTATATATACACACAGGTATATGACAAAAAAACCTGTATCTATAAATATATATATATATATATACAGTCGAGTCCGCCAAAGTCGACTCTGTTTAAGTCGAAAATTCGCGTCAGCCGAATTTTTGAAAAAGTCCCAATTCTTTCCTATGTATTACTGTGTAAATTGTTTGTTTAAGTCGAATTTCGGCTATATCGATGGAATTTTTCTTTCCGGATAGGCCGATTTTAAAGGTCGCGCCCCCAAAAACTCTTCCTGCCCACCAATTGGTCCATTTTCGTGGGGTGTTTTGCAGACTAGACATGTGCTTCGGCTGTGATGACGTCAGATCGCCCAAAGTTTCATAGTGCGTGACAGTAACAAGCTCGGTGTAATCAAGAATGTTTTAATTAAACAAATTTATAAAACAAAACAAAAAACAAATAAGAAACCCTCATGGTATATTATTATATATAGTCAAATCTAAATAAACCTAACAAATTATATTTTATTCTCTACAAATTTCCTCCGTAATTAAATTAGCAACATGTTTTGAAAAGCGTCTTGAGTTTAAAGAATGAATGAGGTGCATTTGAAATTTACACCGA